GTCAGGAATTGAAACATCGTAGTTCTCCGGTAGCTTGACCTCATAAGACCATGGTGTATGTTGGTCTCGTCAAAGACCCGAAGGTTAGCTTGGGCCATCGTCCAAAACATCGCAGGTAAGGTGCCCTCCGTTTGTAGGTCGTCGATCGGTGTGCCACTATTCCGAGAAAATCAGAGTTTAAATATCTGAGTGGATTGCTTTAGATGAGAAAGGCAGAGAAATCTCGATTGTATGTCGTAGCTGACCTTATGCCTCAAGTGTGTTCCTGAGCTTTAAGGCTGTGATAGTTTAGGAATTTGGTATTTTTCTTTTCGTTTTCTGGCTTTGATGCGGGAAGTGGGTAATGTAGTATTCACTTGTCGTAATCTTTACCTTTTGAACTGGATGATCATATGTGCTTTTTGATCATCATTATCGGGAGCCGTTCTGACTCCTTTGTTTTCAAAATAGTTTTTAGGACAATATTTCAAAATCAAATGGGAGAGAAGTTTTTGAATTAGGTACTAATGTTAGATTACGATTTGAATCAGAAGCAATTTCCATCCATGTTGCCATCTTCATATATATTAGTTGCAACTTTTTCGTATCTTACGATAAGACAAGGGGTAGCTTTGTCGTATCTTTAGACAAGGGGTGGCAACAAGCCAAGCCTGAGCTGGGCAGCCTTGGCCCTAGCTCAGCCTTAGTTCAGCCCTACCCGGCCTTGACAAAGCTGAAGAGGCCCCAGCCCTCGACCGACCCTGGCCCTTTCAAGCCGGGATTAGCCATGCCAAATACAATAAATGTAAACTAAAAAGAAAACAAGAAGAAATTTGCTCAGCCCGACCCTATCCTTAGGTCATGGTGGTCTTGCCCCTCGGGCCATATTTTGTGACAGGCCGAATTTTTTAAGACCGAGCTGAGCCAACCAGCCAATTGCCACCCCTAACAGAGAATCATTTCCTTAAGAATCAATATTTCAATCTTTTTTTCTCTTTTGATCGGTAGTCTAGATTTTTTTTCCTTTTTTGTTTTGGAATTAAGATATATCTTTCAAAAAGTTAACCCCCATGTAATAAAATTTTATAATTTTAATGATATAGAAAATTAGAGCAAATGAGGAAAAGCACAGCACGTCACACTATATATCACCATATCTTGCACTTTCCCTAATATAGAATTCTCTTAATAAATGTGCAGGTAAGATTAACATTACCCCACAAACTGCGCTTTGCAGATTCACCAAATTTTCTTATTTTATCAACAATTGATTGACAGCAAAAGCTTACCACAACTTTCACATCCAATTTGGCAGTATATATACATATAGAAAGGCTATGGTAGGTAAGCCCATGCATCTGTCTGTCATTTCCATCATTCTGTTTATTTGTATAATTTTATGGGAAAAATCCAAATATTTAATAAAAAACCAAAAGCCATATCTTACTCCAAAATAGTTTCCCCGTTCCCTCTAGAGGGCCCCATCAATCCTCAACGAAAGCAAAAGGAAATACGATGAAATAATGACATTTCCATCCTTTTGGGTTTTTGCCAAAAGGTTTCATGCTTCTGAGGGAGCAAATGTTGATTTACTCCCTCAAGCACAACCCAATTTGGGAGTATTTTTGGGACCCCAAATTTTGGGGATATAATATCTTCAACCCATATGCTATACTTGATAATGAGAAATTTTTCTGAATTGCATTCTTTTGGGCTCCAAGAAAATAATGCCTCAAAAAGATAGAATAAAAAATGTCAAATTTTTAAGGATGAGATCTAAGGGTTAGAAAACTCAAAATTCAACTTTTTCTTTTCTTTTAAATATAATCATGTAGTGAATTTTATTGGCTGCCATAATTTCAGATAAGAAAATCTTCCTTTTGTCCGAGGGAGTAAGTGTACAATATACATGCCCTTAACTTGCAACTTTTACCTAAATTATACACTAACCAATCAATAATAAACTCCCTAAACCCAAGTCCTATATAATTTGAAAATAATTTCCCCCTTTATATTAAGGAAAAAGTTTATACATGGCTCTAAACTATCAAATTAGAACACACCTAAAAAATTTTACTTGTAGTGGTTGTTTTGATGCTGAAAGATCTTCAAATTGATCATCTCAACATCAAGATGAATGGATTTCAACTTTTGAAAATAGTGCATCTTGTAATGCATTTTTGAACTGTCAATTTTGAAGATTTTTATGTTTTTATAGATCTGCTTGATCTACATTATTTTTGAAGCTTTAAATTTTATAATTATATATGAAATTACATTTTTACGCTATCACAAATATTTCTAGTATTGAAACCACATTTCTCGACATTATTTAAAGATGTGCTCTACCTTGATTGTTTAGAACCTCGGCTCTATACAAACCGCACCCTAACATAAATCGCCTTTAAAATAGAAAAATAAAGAAAGAAAAAAATATGTATCTTCCCAGAAAATAAAATAGAATAAATTCCCTTTTTTTCGTGGATGGATACTAAAAAAATCAAATCCTTCCAGAAAAGGTAAGAGACGACAAGAAAAAAAAATAAAAAATAAAAAATAAAAAAAAAGAAATTGCCAAAAACTTTCCCTTGTGCCGACCGTTTATCAACCAACCGTTGGGCGCCGTCTTTCCACCAAGAAAAGAGTTGGCCAATCAACGCCTTGCCAGCCTGTCCACGTTCGTGTGGACCCTACACGCTCTCTCCCATATATAAACCCCACGACCCCAAACCCTAAACTCCATAGACAAAGCCTTCGATCTCTGTAAATCCCAGCATCCTAAATCTTCCCTCTCCCTCTCTAAGCTTGCGATCTCCAACCCTAAATTTTTTTTTAGCTCCAAACCCTAATTTTTTAGCAATGGCCTCTCAGAAGTTGTTGGCATTTGTTGCTTCTCTTCTTGTGGTTGTGGTGACCATGGCCTCTTCTGTTGCAGCTCAGGAGAGCCCAGCTCCTTCTCCATCTATGGAGAGCGCTTCGTCCTTTGTCACTCCTGCCTTTGGTGCCATTCTTTGCGCTTCTCTCCTCTCATTTGGGGCGCTTTTCTCTCGTTAGAGTCTCGTTATATTTCAACTTTGGGGTTATGAGGAATGAGTGAGTTTCTCATTGTTTTTGAGGATGATATTTTTGGGGATGATGTTTTGGGTCTGGAGATTCGATTTGGGGCATGATGTTTTGGGGTCTGGAGATTCGTTTTGATTTCTTGGGTTGTTCGGAGGGAGATATGGCTTTCATATCATCATTTGTTTGTAAATTTTGATGGAATAAAAGAAATCAGTTTTATCATATTTTATTGCTTTGCAAATTGTCTTATTTTTCTGTTTGGATGAACAAGTTTTTTACTTTTTAATGGCTTGTGGTTCTTCAACTTTTATACTAACTTATCATTGTGTCAATATGGTAAATTGAGGACAATGGAACACATTTAATGTGCCTTTAATTGGAAATTTATCTTGATTCTTCAAGCATATGAAGCACTTGCTCTGCAATTTTCCAGAGCAAGTGGTTTTCATAAAATGAGGTAAAGTAAAGCACTCGCTAGAAGGTGCGTCGCTAGGTTAAACACACAGATTGACCTTTCAAACTATGGTTTCAAAACAGAAATTTGTTATGTTTTTGTTTTATTTTAATTGTTTAGGAAGTTTGTGAAATAAACTTTTCTTCAAATTTTCATTGCCAAACCAATTTAAGCATTAAGCAAACAAGTTACAAAGTCTCATTGCCAAACCAAATTAAGCATTAAGCAAAATTAGTTGATCAAAACAAGTGTTCAATATATATACAACTAAAGAGAATCACTACAGCTACTAAGAAAGGCTAGAATAAAGTGATAATTCCAGTGGTCAGATCCCACAAAGCTTTTCCAACCTCTTAAACTCTCTCCCCTTAGATAAACAGCCTTTTTCCTGAAACCTTTGAACATGCTCTAGTTAAGATGAATCTTGGGCATTGAAAATAATGAACTTGGGACATTCTAGATTATAGCTGAACTTATTGGATACCTCCAACCTGTGGTGTTCATCCCAAGTGAACCAATTTGGTGTTCATTCAACGTATTAGTACAAGAAATCAGATATCCTTCAAATGAATCACAATTTCAGAAGGGCGCACTAGCTACGAAGTAACTGTAGTGTGTACTAGCTGCGATGTCGAAAATGGAATATCAGCAAGTGAGTGGTATGTCAAAAATGGAAGATCAGCAAGTGAGGTATTAGCACTTTGCTGCTGACTGCCATAGCTAACCAATTTAGTAATGAACCTATGTCCTCCCAAATGGATGATGCGTTTCACCTATTTCCTCCTTCACCTCGATTTGTGCCCTCATGAAACTCATGGGACCTCACCAACATCATGTCTTATGCAAATTTCAGAATGAACCAATTTGGTAATGAACCTATATTCAAATGGGTTTGTGAGTTTTCACCTAGTTGTGACCTGTACCTGCCACGAAATGTGTAACCCAACCCCCCCATAACCCAATATGAATATGCCACACAAAACAAGCCAGTGAGCACATGTGTGCGCAGAGAGAGAGAGAGAGAGAGAGAGAGAGAGGAGAGAGAGAGAGAGTAGACTACAACTACGAACGAACGAAGTACGAGTAATAATAAGTCGACCGTACCGTCGTCCGTACTTTCCTTTTACTTAAGTTCGTTACTAACTTAAACTTTAC